TCAAATGTATACGCACTGTGGACAAGCGAGCTCTGTTGTTGTCGATGCAATTTGTGTAGAACTTTCTAGCAGTGCCAACATTGTAGTCGATGTAATGAAGGGAAAATTCGCTAACAAGGCAGATGCAGTCATCACTACTTAGGGTAAAAAAGAGTGAGCACGGGCATCCTGAAAGGTACATGTGTTAATGATAGGATGAGTGAGCACAACGTTCTGGACGATGCATGTGCCAATGCTGATAGTCTAAATTGAATGGGCAACAACGATTTGAATGCCTGAAATAATGGTGCAATTATCGATGTTTGATGTGATATTATCGGTTTAAACTAACTGCCACTACCTACTAAATTGATGACTTAGACAATCTAGCATATGCTCTGATAACTGTCTCTCTATATATCGACACTCTACTATAATCCACTAGATAAAACTTGCTCAAGAAAAGACAAAATGGTCAAGTTTGGTTACAAAAATTAATAAAGTAATCAGCATTGATGCATATAATTAAAATTAACAAAGTAATCAATAATCATAAAATCGTAAAGTTTATGACTTAAAGTATCATTGATAAGTGCACTATAGACCACCTGAGATTGAAATCCAAATCTACATTATGGATTTTGAATTTGACAATGTGATATTGATGCAAACCAAGTATCATAATTCGATGAACACTCATTTAGTCTTTGATATCTTCAACCAACTGGCACAACATGTATACCCATCTCTCCTAATATTGGTTTTTAAAGCTACATACAATATCATATATGTAAGATGATAAACCTTACTCAACTTGAGACTGGGTTAAAGAGTCAGAGGAATGGTCTGTACAAATCAAAACTATAGTAAAACCCTTTTTAAATGATATGGTTTTATGATGGCCCTACAATTGATACATTATGTAAAAAATACAATATCATGCAATAGATGTTTCTCTCATCAATCGATGTATAGTTCTCAATATACATCAAATGCTGTCAACATATCCAATCGCTTATGTAAGGCTTGTAACGTATCAATATAAGTACGAGCCTTCCATCATCGAGCACACAATTGATTATCTGTGTATGTCAATATCCTTATTGGACTCAATGATGAAAAGTGCTCGTAAATCCATGCGTAAATGAAATATATGAGTAATATTTAATCACATACATGAATAATAATAAATAAATAAAATAATTATAATCTATTTTGACTAATCATAAATACATACATGTAGAAGTGTCAAATAACCAGTGATCTGATGTACGTTTGCCCTGCTCGCAATGCCATATTATCTATACAAACAAGTTTGGCAAGTTATCTTCCAAGCACATTTACCAATGGCATTGAGGTCACTTAGTAGGGTTAAATACGCTATCAATGCTTTCATCGCGCTCTTATCAATAAATAATGTACACTCTAACAAATGGAGTAAAAAAACCCAGGATGCATATTCTATTGCCTAATCATTTGATATATCTATTACATTTTTAAAAGTATCTTACAAACACCATAGTCAAAAAATAATTCTGGAAGCCCTAGCAACCTCAGGCGCATAAACTTCAAATAATCTGACCAACATTATATTATCTCATCGATCATTAAATAATTAACTGAAATCATAGTTTCGATGATCAGTATGTATAGAATCGCGAACACGTCATCCAATGAAGTGGTTATCTCTCCAAATGGTAAATGAAATGTATGGATTTCAAGCTAGCACCTTTCAACAAAATCCTCTATCATATTATTTATTAAATGATAAGTGCAATTATAAGTGAATATAACCTCGATTCAACTACATTGACTTAGATACATCTACATGCATCCTCTAGATGTCATTGCTGTAATTTAGGTCCATGATTAATCAATTTTAAAGGATTTCGCTCCTGTAACAATAATAACAACAATAACAATAAAATCAATGTCAACAATATCAACAACATAAACAATATCATTAACAACAACAATAAACTAATTCACTTTAAAAGCATAAACTAACACTATCATATTATATGATTCAAATGATTACCTGGTCATTCCATATCTGCAATGCAACATGAGTTCCAAAACTCCTAAGAATATATGTATCAATCAGACCTCTAGAAATAGGTTAAGAAACCTACTCTGCGCTATCATCTCCATCCCTATCATGATTTTTGTGGGTGATAGGTTCCTCATCATAAATGAAAGGCTCAGCCCATGGAATATCATCTCTTGCATGGTTCCTAACTGACTTGCTATCTTTCTCAACTTGTTGTCTCCTCTCAAAAGTAGTTGGACTCCTCCAACTTGGACCAAGATTACCTACGGGACATCCATCACCTCTGTCAATATCTTTACCTCTCATACAAATGCCTTTACATGGAGTGTGAACCATATTAGTTGTGACATTGTACAAAAAATAAGAAGTCAATAATAACAAATAGAATAAATTTTAATTCTAAACTTACAGAAATAGATTTCCGCAAGCTTTAAAAGACTTACGAAAATCTATTTTTGTAAGTTTTTTAAGGCTTACAAAAAGCTTACAAAAATCAATTTAGCTTTGAAATGCTTACAGAAATGGATTTCCATAAGCTTTAAAGGTTTATAGAAATTCATTTTCATAATTCATGATTTCACCCAAAAAAATCCTAAACCCTAGATTATAAACCCTAACAAATCAACCAAATTAATTAACAATAATTTGAAAATCTTACTTGGAATGAATAGAATACTTAAAAAATTTGTGATTTAGGGGTTTGTTTGATGGTTTTGAGTTAAATTTGGATTAAGTTTGGATTGAGATTAGAGAGAAAATTGAGAGAATGAAGAAGAGATAAGAGTGTAATGGGTATGAAAAAAAAAGATGAAATATTAGGATGAGATGTATTTAATAAAAATATTTATTTATATTTTAAATATGGGGTGTATGTAATAATAAGATGCAAAAACAGTCTTTTGGGGTGTATTTTGAATTACCCTGTCAGATGTGAAAAAATAAAAAGACAAAAAAACCGATGTGGCCATAGAATTGAAAAGGTAGGCTTCTTTGAGGAAACATACCATGTTTTCCTTCGTTGTCTTGTTACCCCATTAACAGCTAACATGCATTTCATACAAAGCACGTGATCAAATATAGTAAGAAGACAATAGTTTATTATTGATTGAATGATAATTGTTATCAATATTCCTTGTCTAAAATATCTCAATTATTTCATCCATGGACCTAGTTCCACAGTGACTTATTTTTAAACCATAAATGAAAATACATTGGTTTGCAGTGGCTACACGATCTGCATGCTAAAATTTTAATTTTAGTAATTAAAATTAAATTTTTAACTATCTCAAATATATATAAATCATAATTTTGAGTACTAAAAACTAGGTAAAGAGGGACATTTCTTGGCATTTGGCTTCCTGGTCCCATATCCATAAATGAACTGTTGAAATTTTTTTCATTTTTGTTCATTTTTCATGCAAGGTCACCAGTTGCAATCAAAGCATCTTTTTCTTCACAATCTCATAATCATGATTAACATAGTATTAACATTAATATGCATCATTGGTACCATTAGTTAATGATAATAAACTACATATAGGAGTAATTAATGATGCAAGAGAAGAATCGTAATCTGTTTTGTCAGTGGAAGAAGTTAAAGAGATCTGGCAACCAAAAAAGAAAACATGAAAAAGCCATTAATGCTCAAGGTGAAGGGTTACATTTCTACTATTTCTTTTGTTTTTGCTTACTAGTGATATACAAGAAGAGGCTTATCCAGTTCACAAGGCAGATTACAAGTTTCACAAAAAAAATTATATTAGATTTATAAATCACTTATCTAATGAAATTGCTGACAGGGAAAATTCAATATAAATTTTACTAACTAAATATTCAATCTTACCAACTCAATCAGCTTTGTTGGTTAATATACAAGGTATGATTAATGCTTATGCAATTAACCAATCTTTGATTAACTCTTGGGAAAGAGAAATGGGTACCATGCTTTGGAGAAAGCAACGCGTTTTTCCCCTTTAAACCAACTCAAAGGCTTCTAACAATAGATAAATCACTTCATTTGCGTGTGCCAAACTTTCCAAAAACCTACAGAATTGGCTTGAAAAGAAATAGAATAAACTAAAAAAAAAACAGTAAATGAAGATTTGCATGACCTTAAAAACAAAATAAATGGGTATTACTTCACATTCAAGGACGCAATCTATATTAAAATGGGATGATATTGCTGTACACACTTCTGCGGTTCTGCCAATGCCATCATTTATAGTTTCTGAATACTTTATGCTTCTAGTTCTATCGTGCGGAGAAGTGATGAAAAAAGAAATATTTTGAGAGAAACTTAGTAGTAGAAAAATCAAGGTGAAGAATCTTTCACACCGACGCAGTTTCACCATTGACGATTTTTAGTAGGAAATTGGGAAATTTGGCCAACTGCTGTAGTTGATATATTCTTCATTTGAGGACTAAAAAAGATGAATCTTAGCCTGTTTACTGGTCCAAAAATAGATAAGGATGATGGTTACAATTGACATATCCCAGGGAAAATTGGTGAAGACAAAGAGATAAAATTATAGAACATATCTTATCATGATGTATGGAAGCCAGGCCAGAAAGTAGGTGTCTGCATTAATTGGAAGCTGAGAAATCACTTTCATGGCTTATTCAAGGAATGACTATGCTCCTACGTTATATAGTTTCTTCCACTAATCAAACAACCCAAATCTCAATTATTGTTGGTTCTGTTACCAAGCATGAAAGAATTACGTAGGTACAGAATGGTTTAACTGCATATTCTTTTCCTTTCATGTTCAGGGATTGAAATTAATTGGAAGAAACAAAGTTTAAGGAGAAAAAACCAAAGGATTATGAATAATGCACAAAGAATAAGATTCTCCTTTTCCTTTCAATTTTCTCCAATACTATATATATATATATATATATATATATAAACTGCATATAACTAACATCATAAACATTTCAAAATACAAAAATAATATGACATTTGATCCTTATTCTATACATACAAACTTGATTTCGGAGAATTGCAGAAGATGTAACAATCTGATATAATACGATGAATAATGCTCCCTTCTTGAAATCTAACTTTCCTACTCTGTCTGTTCCAAAGGTGAACCGCATAGCTTTGCCTGCGGATCTGCTCAAGCTTATCACGCAACCATTTTGAATGGATCTCATTTTTAGGCCCCTGAAATAGGCTTCGAATCCTGGTCCAATCAACCGGATAAAATGCTGATGGGGGCAACACAGTGAAGTTAAATCCAGGCCTACCAGTAACTCTTGCAACAACCCTTGAAACCAAGTAAGGACCATTGTGACCCCACTTATTTCCATCAAAAGTGAGTCCAAATTCTTGAATGAACTTGTACAGCAATGGATGTTGCTTATCAAAAATCAGCACAGCATTGTTCAATCTGCTCCAATTCTTGGTTTCAAGATTGATGGATTGAGCACCAATCACATTTCTTAAATTATTGAAACTCTTTAAAACTATAATATCTGTATCTATATAAATACCACCATACTTATATAACAAAGCAAGTCTAAGCAAATTAGAAAGACTTTGACCCAAAGAAACCTCCCCAGGATCAACATTTCCTTTCTTTAACCGATTAAACCACACTTCTGCATAAGTATTCTTGAATATATAATCAAAATCAGGATCAACTGCAATCAACTTAAACCCCTTATCCAAAAACGGCTTCAAAACAACGCTTCCCCTTTTAGAATCCAATGAATTTGACACAATAACTAAACAAGCTTTTGGGTGTGACTTAAACACACTCTCAATAGAAAGCAATTCTCTATCACCTAATGACTCTATTGAAGAAATCCAAGTCATGAAAAACCGAGACTTACACTTGGAATTCTGGAAAAAATCCTTAACTTTAGAGGAAAACCCCTTTGCTTTTGTCCCTGAACGCAGTGTCCTCCATATTTGACGGCTAAAACGAGTCTGTTTTGGCCTAAAAATTAAAGGCTTGTCAACAGGAATCATCGAAAAGTTCGGTTTTTGCGGTAGAGGCAAATGGGATTTTAAAATAACAGGTGGATTCTCTTCTTTCACTGCATACATCACTGAAGATACCAACTTTGTCACCGTTTTGTTCCCGGGAAGATTCTCAGGCAACAAATTGGCGGTCTCTGGTGAAGATTTGGCGGGAACAGGAAGATTAACATTGAAGACAGATAAGCCATTGCAAGCTAAAAGAAGAAGAATGAAAACAGCAAAAAGTGAAGTGGGTAACAGAAACACAAAGCCAAAAACTGAACTTTTATTATGTTGGAAATTATGGCGAAGTTTGGTCTTTTGAAACATTGGCTTGGTCTTGTAAGAAACTAAAGTTAATTGTTTGCAGATATTGGTAGAAGTAGTAGTAATAGTTTCATAATTTGTACCAAAAAAAAAAGTTTGAAGAAAGAACAAATGAAAGGAATTGCCAAAGACAAAAAAATTAGAAGTAGGAGAAGGAGAAGGAGGAGGGAGGAATTTTAATGGAGGAGGCGGCAAAAGAAAACAAAAAAGGAACGAATTTGTTTCAGAGTTGTGATTTGGACATTAGGAACCAAACATGTAAGCAAAAAAGAGGTCTCCAAGGCTGCTTTTATTATGGCAAAAGAAAGTAACCAAGTACGATGCCGGAGTATGCATGGGCAAATATAAATATAATAATTTTTGTAATATAATATTATTTCAAAATTTAATATAATTACAATTTTAGAAAACAATTTAAATTTTATTTTCATGATTACAATTATATTGATAATGGTTGATAAAAAACATAAGTCACCTTATATAATTTTTTATCATCATTGTATTTACAATTTAATATATAACTTTAATTTGATTATTAAAAATAAAACTATAAAAGTACAAAACAAAAAAATGTGACAGATTTTTTTCAATAAAAAATATAATTTCATTCATAAAACCAAAAGATTAAAGAATTTAAGAATCTCACTAGAAAATACTCAAATGCATAAATAGAAAAACTATTGTAATAACACATAATAATATACATAATCTAATTTTTTTTTAAAAATAATACATACAATCCAACCACCTTAAAGTCTAGTACAATCTGGCATAAAATAATTATGTTTTTCCCACTTCCATCTTTATTAAAGAATCAACAATATAATTGTTTATCTAAAAGAATAGACAAAATCAACAATTTCATTTTTGCTTATAACAATTAAAAACTCGCTACTCATTCCAATGGCATGAATCTACATTGAATATCTAAAATATAATTAATGTTTTAAATCAAATACTATATATATTCACCTAATTTTAAGGGAACATATAAATAATTAATTAGATAAAGTTACATGTTTTAAAAAAATCAATATAGAAATAAATTTTGATATTAATTGTAGGATTTTTTTATAGTATTAATATATTAAATTTAAAACTTTATTGTATGTTTTTTTTTTTTTTCCGAACGAATGAAATTGTATGTGTGTATATATATCTTGTATTCTAAAGGAGCTAAACTTACATTAAAATCAAACCATCGGCATTTTTATTTCAATATTATGTGTGTATTTTTTTTATGAATTATGATATATCAATATGATATCTTGAAATATCTATCTAAAAAATGAATTGAATCAAGAATGTTTATCTAAAAAAATAAATATAGAAGAATATTAAAAATTGAGTATAAGAGTGGCAATTGTAGTTTGAGCATTTCCACAATTTTAGGATTTATTAAATGAAATAAGTGATAAATTTTACAAAATTGAGGAATTTGGTCCATTTTAATAAGATTAGTAAAAATTATAAACTAACATCCCTTACATCATCAAAAGCTTCATTTACTAAGAACTTAGAAAATAATTTTTTCATTTTCAATTGAAACCAAGGCATATTCGCTAGATCATAGTTAACTATATCATTTTAGGTCGACTTGACTTACAATACAATATCTGAAAATTTTTATAATTTGGCTTATAATCAATGCATAGCCACCAAGTTTGGTAGCATCCAAATTAATCAATCATCATAGACGTTTGATTGTGAAGTCTTGCAAATCAACATAATCTTATTAAGTAATCACCCAAAATAAAATAAAATCGTTAAGCCTTTGCTAACTAAAACCTTGCAAAAAATGAGAATTATCTAACAACGTCACATTCAACGTATATATAGAAAATATTAAAGATTTGCCTTTAAATTATAAATTATTAAAGAAAAAATTATACTAAAATATATAATTGATAAAATTACTATTCTAAAAATAAAAACCTAACAATTGCACAAGGAAAAATGAGTAAAACCTCAATAAATTTACAAAAGAATAGTAAGCAAGACTACAAAATCAAATTTTTATAAAAAAAAAAATAGTGGCAAAATTGTAGTAAAATAAAATTGAAGAATAGGCAAATTGGATTTCCTTAATACTTTTTTTGAAAGAATATTTGCATTTATATTACTATCAAGATACACTATCGTAAATGCATTAAAAAAAGAATTAATGTGATTTTTCATTCAAAATTTCAAATTCTGAAATTTTGCCTAATCTGTATTTTTAAAAAAGAAAAAAAAATCTTTTATAATTTAATGATATCATTATTATTAGTTAAATGGCTAATTTCTCTTTCCCTACATACTACATTAAATTTCATTTAATTTTTCATGAATAATTATGTTAGCTTTATAGGTGAGATGGTGATCTAAGGGGGAATGAATTGGATTTCTTCAAATTCTTTTCAAACAATGATTTCAATATAGTTGAATGGAAATTAAAACAATAAGCAACTTTGATGAAAATATAATGCAAACAATAGTAATTAATGAACCTAAAATCAAATATAAACAACAATAAATTATAAGGAGATAGGGATAAAGAAATTAAATACAATGATTTATAGAAGTTCGGTCCTTCTCCACAATGCACCTACGTCATCTTTCTTGGTTGTCCACACCAAGGCTTCAATCCACTAATTAAAGAAAAATTCTTACAAGATATAAACCTATCTTGTACTAAATCTCTATCTTTTTTTCAAGGCTTAGATAGCAATCTCTACCCCTACAAATCAAAAAGATACCTCACCTCTTGCTTACAAGATAACCAAATAATTTTTGCAAACTAAAATACCTCTCAAGATTGAGTGTTTGCCTAATAAAGTACAAAGAAAATGATGAATGAAAACACAACAATATTTTGGATACAAAAAAAACAAATGATATTGAATTTAAGCTCTAAAAACTCTTGATTCTAAGACAAAATGAAAATATAGCTTGTTGGCTCTTGCACTATTGATTCATCAATCCTCTTGGTGTGTTAGAGTGTCCAATTTATAGAGAAATTGAAGAAGTAGCCATTGGGAAGCTTGAAGTGAAGAAATGCCTGTTGGAATCATGAAAAAATAGTTGTTGGTGTGCTTGTGCCTAGAACCAATCGATCCCTTGCTTGAGGGGATCTATTGGTTCATGTTTTGAACTATTTTTCACTTGAAAATAGCCTAATCGATCGATCCCTTTTTGTAGGGATCAATTGGTTAATAGGGTGATCGATTTCCTATGTGGGGGGATCGATCCCTTTTTTGGATTTTCAGTCCTTGGAGCATTCTATTTGAAAAAGCAATCAATCCTTCTAGAGAGGATCGATCCTATCTATGTTGGGTGGTAATCTCCCGTTTTGCACTCTACTTACTAATTTGATCATATCTTGAGTTATACAAATCCAAATTACAAACTGTTTGAAGATTTAGAAACTAGACTTAAAGGGATTTCTATCTATATAAAATTCATCACCAAATTCATTGAGTACAAATTATAGTGAATTTTCAAAGTTACCCTTTGTGCAACTTTTCTGACAACTACTGAGTGTCTAGTAAAAATTCAAAATCTTTTCTTAAAAAATTTGGATTTTGATTTTGTTTAATCCATTAGAAAGTAAACTTAAAGAGCTTTCCAACCATATAAAATTCAAATATTAAAACTTTGTGAATTAATACAAAAAAAGTAAAATAAATTCAATGTTAGAAAACTTTATTATTGTAAAACAACTTTCTTAAGTTAATCTTTTTCTCAAAATCAATATTATCAAAATTGTATTAAGTCCAAAATAAATAAATTCACTTTAAAAACAAAATTAGACTTTCATTTAAGCTCAAATAAATAATCTTTAAAGATAGATTTGGCTTGAGAAATATGAACCAAGAAAGGTTTGTTTAAACTTTGAAAATCATATTATTTATTTAGTACCAAAAATATAAAACTTAAGAACATGCACTAAATAAATCTTTTTCAAAATTTTGATCAAGTTTATTTGTCTTTAATGTTTTGTTATTTCAAAATAAGAATCAATTCAAGGCTAACAATCTCTCCCTTTTTGATATGACGAAACTCAAAGATAAATTTGTTTGATGAAAAATTTTCTTTGAAACATTTAAGATTTTGAAAGACATTTTAAAAAACTCCCCCTTAAACAATGCATGGCAAAACTCCCCCTTAATTTATGCATCCTAATCCAACACAACTCACCAAACATATGTTAGAGCATATATATCAAATAAGCACAATCAAACATATGCATGTCAAGCACAAGCAAATTTGTTCATATGATATTTCTCCCTCTTTTTGTCATAGCAAAAAGGCATAAGCATATTAATGAGTAAATAAATATAAAAAGGCATCATTAACAAATATATTCATAAAACATTTCTCTTCCCTTTTGTTTATGCTCTTTATACCAAATGTTTAAGCTCCTATATCAATTGCAATAAGCATACAAGAAGAAATATCTCTAAACTCTCTCCTCTTTTTTGTCATTTCAAAGAAAGAGAGATCAATTCAAGGCATGGGACAAAATGCTTGATACCAATAATATCAATAGTATTTTGAATGCATGTAATCAAGTGTAATATGCACAATAAAGTTCGCATACATGTATTCAAGCACAAAAACATAAGTGTATCCAAATTTAACATTTTAGCACAAGTCATCAAATGTACTACATGAAATTTATGAGCAAAGGATAATGAATGATATGCAATCTACTCATAAATCATGCTATCATAAGATGTGCTTAAAACTTAAAAGATCAATAGTAATTAAGCATAAATTTAAGCACATGCATACAAGCTCATACCAATAGTTATGGATACCAATTGTTAAAGATATATTATGATAAAGCATACCAATTGTTATTACAAAACAAATTAAACAAAATTGTATTCTAAGATTTCTCCTCATTTTCAAAATAAGGATTAATCAATGTAAAGCACACATAATTTTGCATGAAAGGTACAAGCTATATCAATGATAGGCACATAAATAAGCATCTAGAAAGTTAAAAAAAATCTTTAGCAATTTTGATATCAATTGTTACCAATTGTTAGCAATTTTATTCAACAACTTTCATAGAGCACATATACTTCAAGAATATGAAAGATTCATT